TATAATTATTATTACTGGGAGGGATGTTCTCATTCTATAGACCATTTGGTTGGACAGAAATTTGTGTAGTGTGCTGGATGAGTCATCAATATTTTGAGAAAGAGTAAATTGTATATACATATTCATCTGCAAAAACTTAATTCTGAAAACCTTTAGGAGTACGCTAGCATATAAATTGCTTCAATACTTCTAGACATGGACTAAAAGCCTCAGGTACCCCTGGTTGGTAATCTTTGATCCAAAAGTTAAAGTCGTCATTTATCAGAAATTATATTTGAACGTACCATGGGGATGAAATAGTTCTATTGCTCTTCAATAAGTCAAGACTATCTACCAAAAAGCCTTGACTAGAGAGACAGTGAATTATTTGAGATGATTACAGTTAACCTAACGTATGCTTAAAAACCATTGTGTGACGGCAGACAAAACATCGGCAGAGACTCATTGCGGATCAGAGAAGTCCGTTTTTTTTTTTTATCCTGAATCACACGCGAGGGCAAAGGCGGACAATACAGCAGCACCAGGAAGTCTGCAGGGGATGTGTGACGGCGGACTGGCACCCCTCTTAAATTAAAGACAAAGGGACACAAGACTGCAACTTTAATCACATCCTTTTTCTGTGATTAATCGCGATTTATCGCACACTTCATGAAATTAAGCATAGACCATTTATCTTGTTCCAAATGGTTATTTTGTCATCATTTGCTATATTCAGCTAAGAAAACCAAAAGATTGAAGGGTGAGTCTCAAAAATCTGTATTTTCTGCAAGCTTTCTTCAAGATAAATGTAGATGTCTTTCCAAAAAAGGACTCCAAAAGAACTCCAAAAGGATACTCCAAATGGACACCAAAGAACCAGATGCTATAAGGAGCCCATATAAGCACATATGAAAGAAAAAAAAAAAATCTGAATTTTATAGTATGTATACAGTGCAACAGCAAATAGCTTTTTTACATTTTAGAGAAGTCAAGTTGCGATACCGAACAGGACCACATGGAGATGCCAAAAACCCATAAACCAACCGCCTGCTGACTGCATATATCTACTACAGTACATGGATCAATTCAGAATAACTAACACGACACAGCAACATACACATGACAAATCAAAACATTATCGTGAATGTGTGTGGAAACAATGTGAGGCGGACTGGCACCCCTCTTAAATTAAAGACAAAGGGACACAGGCTGGGACTGTGGTAGACACCCCTAGCGTCCCCCAGGCTCCTATCAGCTCCGTCGGCAGATGAGCCAGATAAAGACGTGTGCTCTGGAGGAAATGAACCCTGCTGACCCGTAGCCCTGTAAACAGCTGGAGAAGAGCCCCTGACTCTCTCTCTCACTTTTTTTAATGCCGTCTTCCCTCCCGCACTCACTCCCCATTGGCTCTCGTTCTGCTCGATTTTCCAGTCCAAGGTTACTCTCTTTTTCTCCAAATCTCTTTATCTCTCTCTCGGAGTCTCCCTTTCTCCGTTACCCCCACCGTTGTCCATCACGATCCCGGGCCAAAGTAATCAGTCCCGCCTTTGATTACGCCACTCTGCCTTAGCGAGGAATGCATTGAGGGGAACTTTATCAGCATTGTATAGTATCAGCACTTTCTCTCCGGCCCTGAGATAATTGAAGGTGGTACTCCAGGAAGCCCTGAAAGAGCCCTTGTCTGGCCCAGGGGAGGCCGGGCGCAGAGGGTGGGCGCAGGAGGGTGGGGGGCTGGGCGTGAGAGCAGGAAACCCGTCTCGTGAATGTGTGTGGAAACAATGTGAATGTACGGAAATGTCTGTGCTTGTGCATAAATAAATGTAATGTAAAAAATGCATAAATGTGCGATCAGTGCATCAAGAGCACTCATACACGCATTATTATACCGGCCTCACGCGTGCTTACTGTACTGTATGACTCGTGTACACCACTGCAATCGTCTTTACCTTGATTGCAGACTTCATCCATCAAAACTTTACTAGCGAGACGGTTATCCAGTCGAGAAACCGTAGTTTGCGTCTCATCTGGCCATACAGCGGTGGGGTGTGTTGACAATCCATTTAATCTGTACTTCACACAAAGGTGGTACTCCAGGAAGCCCTGAAAGAGCCCTTGTCTGGCCCAGGGGAGGCCGGGCGCAGAGGGTGGGCGCAGGAGGGTGGGGGGCTGGGCGTGAGAGCAGGAAACCCGTCTTGGCGTAGAATGGAATGTTTCAAAAGAACGTGTTCGGAACTTCCAGGACGAGGGCGTCTGCTGCTGTGCCGCTGGTCACTCGTTCGCTGGAGCGCTGGTTCTGGAGAGGGGGGCGGAAAAGGGAAGCAGTGTCTCTCCTCTCCTTTCGTACTCTCTCTCTC